ACCAACCGGTGCGCTATCCACGCCAAGAGAGTTACCATCATGCCCAAAGACATCCAGCTGGCCCGCCGCATCCGTGGCGAGCGCGCTTAAATATACCGGTTCATCACCAATAACGGAACTCAAAGGCTCTTTTAAGAGCCACATAAATTGCACTTAAAAGAGTTTCAGTTTTAATACTGTTCCTAGTGAATAGATGGCGTCGTTGCACCCTTGCAGTAAATGAATTTATTTAAAGTATTTTCTGTTGCTCTGTTTTAATGTATAATTTTACACGCAGACACGGATAATCTATTTTTATATAAAGATTATTTTCCATACATGTTACAGAGTCGATACCATTTATTCTTACCATCTACGTATACTCTGCAGGATGGCATATTTCATTGTCCTGCTGTAGTATGGGGGCGCCGCGTGTCACCGTAAGGTTTTGCGTGATAAACAAATCTAACAACCTTGCACAAGTAGCTAACTGACCATAAAACATGTTCTCTAGAATTACTTCTAAATAGCGTTTTAGTGAAGCTGTCCACATTTATTTTCCGTTGTCTTTAATCTGTAATTGATTCTCAAGATTGGATTTCTTAAAGTGCTATTACGGTGTACAAAGCACAAAGTTAGACTATATTATTATATTACCCACCATGAAACAAAGACAAGAGTAAAGACTTTTGGATCAGTATGATACGACGGTGAGAGCAGGAGTGATACTGCACACAAATCAGACAAGAGCGAAAATTATATTTATATTCGCATTCAATTCAAGTCATTGATGCTTGCATACGGAACAGCCACAGACAGGCTCAGCACCCTCCTACTTCCACTCACTCTTACGAATTTACACCCCCTCCAGAAGCCTGAGATCTAGAAGGGAGCGTAGCCTCGTGGTACCATCACAGAGGCACAACATCACTTTCCAGAACATTCTCCTTCACCAGTTCCTGACTGGTGGAATGATCTCCCCTCCCCCATCCGGAATGCTGTACCTCTGACTGTTTTTTTTAAACGACAGCTGAAAACTCATCTCTTTCGTCAACATTTGACTGCATCATTTAAAAAAAAAACCCTTTGCTTTCTCTTTCCTAATTCCTCATGTCTAGTACTTGTACTAATCTGAACAATGTCAGCAACTTTGTATCATGAGCACTCCCTGTGTTTATTTGCCTCTTTGTGATGTATCGCTTGTTGTATTCCTCAATTGTAAGTCGCTTTGGATAAAAGCGTCTGCTAAATGTAAATGTAAATATTACACAAACGTCAAAAGAGCTTTTATTTAGAAATTATGTAGTTCAAAAGTAGAGGACCAATATAGTTGTATAGTGTAGTTAGCCCGTATTTATAGTTCCATGCATCAGTAACGTTTTGGTGGGATTTTAAACACTTCTGATCCTTATTGCTCTCCTCCAAAAATCCGAAAATGGGTGAATAAAGGTTTTAAAGTTACTCTATCATGCACAACGTTTGGAGAGAGCCATTGTTTTCTAAAAAAAAAAAAAAAAAAGCGGGAAATGAAACAAGGGAAACCGAGTCGAGTGGGATGTCGTTCACACGTGGAGCGATAGGCGGGGCTATCATTTAACAGCTTGTGATAGGTCTTCACAAGCCTTGAGTTGTCCAATAAAATACGTATTTTGGGTTGGGCCAAACAAATCACGCAATCAGAATGTTCCTTTAAGCTTTGAAGATTAGCATAGAGAAGTGAATAAAAACCCCTGAAAGCGACGAGAAAAGTATTGGTTTGTAAAACAATTCTTATAACGGCATCATTATGCCTGAAGCAGCAAAGTCCGCGCTTAAGAAAGACTCAAAAAAGGCCGTCACTAAGACTGCAGCGAAGAGAGGAAAGAAGCGCAGGAGATCCAGGAAAGAGAGCTACGCTATCTACGTCTACAAATTGCTGAAGCAGGTTCATCCTGACACCGGGATCTTCTCCAAGGCGAGCTGTGCATAAAGACCCGTGTGTTCTGGAGAATATTATTCAGATTTGAGTGTTTCAGTGTTTTGGAGAAGTTCATTCAACTTGGAGTGTTTCTGAAGATAGCATTATGCCAGATCCAGCGAAATCCGCTCCCAAGAAGCGCTCAAAGAAGGCCGTCACTAAGACTGCAGCGAAGAGAGGAAAGAAGCGCAGGAGGTCCAGGAAAGAGAGCTACGCTATCTACGTCTACAAAGTGCTGAAGCAGGCTCATCCTGACACCGGGATCTTCTCCAAGGCGATGGGCATCATGAACTCTTTCGTCAACGATATCTTCGAGCGCATCGCGGGTGAGTCGTCTCGTC